AATCCCTGAGAAATTGGGGGAAATTCGAGGGAAATTTGGGGAAAAATCCCTGAGAAATTGGGGGAAATTCGAGGGAAATTTGGGGAAAAATCCCTAAGAAATCGGGGGAAATTTGGGGAAAAATCCCTGAGAAATCGGGGGAAATTCCCTGAGAAATCGGGGGAAATTCCCTGAGAAATCGGGGGAAATTCGGGGAAAAATCCCAGAGAAATCAGGGGAAATTTGGGGGAAAATCCCTGAGAAATCGGGGGAAAATCCCTGAGAAATCGGGGGAAATTTGGGGGAAAATCCCCAAGAAATTGGGGGAAATTCGAAGGAAAATCCCCATGAAATCAGGGGAAAATTCAGGGGAAAATCCCCGAGAAATCAGGGGAAATTTGGGGGAAATTTGGGGAAAAATCCCCGAGAAATCGGGGGAAATTTGGGGAAAAATCCCCGAGAAATCGGGGGAAATTTGGGGGAAAATCCCTGAGAAATCGGGGGAAATTTGGGGGAAATTTGGGGAAAAATCCCTGAGAAATCAGGGGAAATGCGGAGAAATTTGGGGGAAATTTGGGAAAAATCCCTGAAAAATTGGGGGGAATTTGGAGAAATTTGGGAGATTTTGGGAAAATTCGGGACAAATTCAGGAGATCCAGGGGAAAAATCCCTGAAAAATCAGGGGAAATTTGGAGACATTTGGGGGAAATTTGGGGAAAAGCCTTGAAAAATTGGGGGAAATTTAGGGGGGTTTTGGGAAAATTCGGGAAAAATTCAGGAAATTCTGGGAAAAATCCCCGAAAAATCAGGGGAAATTCGGAGACATTTGGGGAAAATCTCTGAAAAATCAGGGGAAATTCAGATAAATTTTGGGGAAATTTGGGAAAAATCGGGGGAAATTTGAAGAAATTTGGGGGAAATCTGGGAAAATTTGGGATAAATACCTGAAAAATTGGGGGGAATTTGGAGACATTTGGGGGAAATTTGGGGAAAATCCCCAAAAAATCGGGGGAAATTCGGGATTTTGGGGAAATTTAGGGGGTTTTGGGAAAATTCTGACAAATTCTGGAAATTTGGGGAAAAATCCCTGAAAAATTGGGGGAAATTTGGAGAAATTTGGGGGATTTTGGGGCCATTTTTTGGGGGATTTGGGGGCCGATTTTTATGGGATTTTGGGGCCATTTTTGGGGGATTTTGGGGAACATTTTTTGTGGGTTTTTGGGGCCGTTTTTTTGGGGTTTTTGGGCCGTTTTTGGGGGGATTTTGGGGATTTTTGGACCGATTTTGGGGCCATTTTTGGGACATTTTTTGGGTTTTTTTGGGGGGATTTGGGGGCCGATTTTTGGGGGATTTTGGGGATTTCTGGAGCCATTCTTTGGGGGATTTTTGGGCTGATTTTTGGGGGATTTTGGGGGAATTTGGGGCCATTTTTGTGGGTTTTTGGGGGGATTTTGGGGAGTTTTTGGGCTGATTTTTGGGGGATTTTTGCGCCATTTTTGGGGGATTTTGGGGCCATTTTTTGAGGGATTTTGGGGCCGTTTTTTGGGGGGATTTTGGAGATTTTTTTTGGCCATTGTTTGGGGGATTTTTGGGCCATTTTGAGGGATTTTGAGGTCCATTTTTTTGGGTGATTTTTGGGGTTTTTGGGTCTGACCTGAGCCCATGAGGATGTCGGGGTTGCCCAGGGTCAGCGCCGCCGTGAAGTCGCCGCCCCGATATTCCCCGTCCACCTGCCAGTTCACGAACTTGGCCTGCTGGGTCTGGGGGAAAATCCGGGGATTTTGGGAAAAATCCCAGCGTCGGGAAAAAAATCCCCACTCTGGGGGGAAAATCCCCGAATTTTGGGGGAAAAAATCCTGGTTTTTGGGAAGAAAAGAGCTTTTTTTGGGGAGAAAATCTTGATTTTTGAAGGGAAAAAATCTTAATTTTTGAAGGGAAAAAAATTAATGGGTTTCTGGGAAAACTTCTAATTTGGCAATATGCCAGAAACCCCCCAAAAATCCCAAAAAATTCCCAAATTCCGTACCAGGAATGCGACCTTGGAGCGGATCTGGACGCTCACCCCCCAGAATTCCCAAAAAACCCCAAAAAATTCCCTAAAAAATCCCCCTAAAAGAATCCCTAAATAATCCCAAAAAATCCCCAAAATACAAAATATCCCTGAAAAATTCCCCAAATCCCCCTAAAATTCCAAAAATTGCACAGAAATTCCCAAAATTCCACAAAAATTTCCTTAAAATTAAAAACCAAAAAACCCCATAAAAACCTCCAAAACTCCTGGAAAACCCCCCAAAAATTCCTAAATTTCCCCCCCCAAACCCGGGAAATTCCCAAAAAATTCCCAGAATTCCAGAAATTCCCGAATTCCGTACCTGGAAGGCGAGCTTGGAGCGGAGGCGGGAGCTCACCCCCAGAAATCCCAAAAAAATTCCCAAAAAACCCAAAAAATTCCTGAAAAATTCCCCAAATCCCCCTAAAATTCCCAAAATTTCACCAAAATCCCTTTAAAATTCAAAAAAATCCCCCAAAAATTAAAAAAAAAAAACAACCAAAAATTAATAAAAAACTCCCCCAAAATAAGCCCAAAAATTCCCCCCAAAAAACCCTTAAAAAACCCCAAATTTCCCCCCAGAATTCCCAAAAATTCCCAAAAAATTCCCGAATTTTGTACCTGGAAGGCGAGCTTGGAGCGGATCCGGGAGCTCACCCCCAGAAATCCCCAAAAAATCCTTAAAAATTCCCAAAAAAATCCCCAAAATTCCAGAAAAATTCCCCAAACCCCCCTAAAATTCCCAAAATTTCACCAAAATCCCCCTAAAATTCCCCAAATCCCCCCAAAATTTAAAAAAACCCCCAAAAAATTAAAAAAAAATCCCCCAAAATCTCAAACAAAGCCCAAAAAATCCCCAAAAAAAACCCGAAAAACCCCCTAAAAAACGCAAAAATTCCCAAATTTTCCCCCAGAATTCCCGAAAATTCCCGAAATTCCCGGATCCCGTACCTGGAAGGCGATTTTGGAGCGGATCCAGGAGCTCACCCCCAGAAAACCCCAAAAAATCCTTAAAAATTCCCAAAAATCCCTCAAAAAAAACCCCAAAAGACCCCCGAAAACCCCAAAATAATCCCCAAAAAATCCCAAAAAACCCCCAAAATCCAAAAAATCCC